GTCACAGCAATACACAAGCCACCGCGACACACCGACAACATGCTGTCAGCAGAGACCAGGCCCTGGAGAAGGACATCGTGCTTGGGAGAGCGGAGGGGCAGCACACCAGAGGAAGGCCGGCAAGATGGGCGGGCACAGCGGCCGCCGCCTGAGCTCAGACACGAGAACGATTTGCAGATGGCGCAGGACCGGCAGGGTTTGGTTCCGCTGTGCGCAGCGAGTCACCCTGGGTCGGAACCGACTCGATGGCACCAGACACCGACAGTGACGCCCCAAATGGACGAGGGTTGCCATCGCTCTGAAGTGTGATGCTCTTTCCTCAAAGATACACCTCCTTCGCCAGCGAGGCCTAACCACCAGGAGTGTTCACTGCAAACAGATAATGGGGTTGCTTTCTGTGTCTTGTCCGCGGCGGCGTGTGTCCTCCCCGATGAGTATTCTTGTCTGTTGTCTGTCGCCCCCAGGCATCAAGAGAATAAGGTCCTGGGTTTGGGGACTGAGTCCGTTCAGACTCCTAATGACCCTGCCCTCTGGATCGCAGAACAATGAAAGCTCCTTGGGTCCTGGGCCAGCCTCGCCACGGTAGAACTGTGTGAGTGGCCTGTTACAGCAACTAGAGGGGCCGCGGTGGGTTACGTGTTGTGCTTTTATCAGCAAGGTCCACAGTTCGAAACCACCAGCTGCTCTGAGGGAGAAAGACGAGGTTGTCCTCCTCCTGGAAAGGTTTTCAGTCTCAGAAAGCCACAGGGCAGGTTCTACTCCATCCGTGAGTCAGAATGGCCACACTGGTGGTGTTCAGCTGGGTTACGTGGCAGCTCCTCTGTCTTGTCCATTGTTGTAGTATGCCCTGGAGTCAGCTGACTCACACGGGCCTATGGGCCAGAGTAGACCTGGCCCCACAGGATTGCCAAGGAGCCCTGGTGGCCTCGAGGTTAAATGCTCAGCTGCTAACCTGAAGGTCAGTCACGGGAAACCAAGGATTGGGAAGAGCATGCGTGCGTGCGGACAAATTCATGACGCTCATGATTAAGAAACCTGGAAGGCCTGGATTCTGGCGGCGGGAGGGCTTCACATTTGTGAGCTGATGATTCATCCCAGTCACATTCTCCTAATTCACACTCATTCCCCACACTATCCTCCCGCAACCGTGCTACTATAAGAATATTTCTCACCAGGAGGCCAGCAGCCCTTCTCTAAAGGAGCAGACATGTTTCTGCCATTCTCCCTGCTCAGGAGGTGATCACCTCCCTTCTGCCTGTCCCCAGGATTAGTAACTAGGTTCCTCCCCCAATGAGCTCAGGGACTTCCAGGGTGAAGACACTGCCCACCTTGTTACCTAGATGATTGACTGTGATTGATGGGGGTTTGCTGACCCCAAGACGATATATACCTGTTGGAGAAACATTCTCTCTCATTCCCGGCGTCATGGAAGAGATAGCACCCTATAGTCTTTGTCTTTGTCTTTTGTTCGAATTCCACAGTCGCTCCTCAGGACCCTCAGTTCTGGGCCAGGGGTTCAAACCCACCATGGGAGAAAGATGCGGCAGTCCCTTCCTGTCGAGATGACAGTTCTACTCTGTCCCGTGGAGTCGATAAGCATCACCATGACCTTGCAGTAAGGGATTTTCTTTAGTTCTAGTCTTTACAGGAGCAGATTGCTGGTCTCTCGCCTTCAGAATGGCTGGTGGGTTTGAACCGCCGACCTTCTGGTTAGAGGCCGCGGGCTGAGCCACTGCATCACCAGGGCTCCTTGTCCTCCCAACCCCTCGCCCTCAAGTCAACGCCCACTCACAGCAGCCACGTGCCCCACAGGGTTTCCATTCTGCCCTGTTCTTGAGGGTCACGGCGAGTCAGAATGCCCCCACCCCCGGCAGCGAGGGCATTTCTTCTTCTTTAAAGGTTTCCAAATCTGTGCTCCTCACAGACTCAAGCCTGCCGCCTCTCGAGACAAGCAGCTGTTGAATTCAATCCAGTGCGCCACTGGGCTCCTTGTCCTAAGGATTGAATTAGAGCAGCGGTTCTCAACCTGTGGGTCACAACTCCTTTGGGGGGTCAAACGGCCCTTTGACAAGGGTCACCTAAGACCATCAGAAAGCACATATTTCCGATGGTCTTAGGATCCGAGACACCGCTCCTCTCTCCGTCTCCAGGCGGGTCCACCCACATGCAGATGCGTCCACCTACGAGTACCCAGGGCGAAGACTGTTACCCCTGCTACACCATGCTTCAAGACAAAATTTCATTGATTTGTCATTAGAAATCAATATTTCAAAAAATAAATAAACATTTCACAATATATAATGACATTATTTCTGTGATTCATCACTGTGCTTTCATGATGTTCAATGTGTAACAATGAAAGTACATCCTGCCTCTCAGATTCCTAACAGGAGCAAAATGACAGTTATGAAGTAGCAACGAAAATGATTTTATGGTTGGGGGGGCACCACCACATGAGGAGCTGTATGAAAGGGACGAGGCATCATCAGGAAGGTTGGGAACCACTGAAATTACAGCTCAAATTTCTGAGCACTAAGTTTGCAAAAGGCAACGGCGTATAGTTGTAGTTTTGGGTGCCGTTGAGCCGGCTCTGACGCACAGCGACCTGATGCACAACAGAAAGAAACACTGCCCGGTCCTGTGCCAGCCTCACAAGGTTGGCAGTTCGAAACCACCAGCTTCTCTGTGGGAGAAAGATGAGGCTTTCTACTCCCTTAAAGAGATACAGTCCTGGAAACCCACAGGGGCAGTTCTACCCTGCCCTATAGGGTCCTCACGAGTCGGAAATGGACTAAATGGCAGTGAGCGTAGATTACTTTTGGTTTAGGACCCCAGGCTCATGAGCCACATCCTGACAGCCTCGGTTGGTTGGAGGGCCCTGGACCACTCTTGTAAGTTCTACTAACATTCATGGTCCCCTTCTCCCTTCTGTCCTCTCACCTGTAACTGTGATGCGTGGATCTGCCGGCCACCCGGTCATGCTTCTGTGACAATTTCCTTTTCCTTTGCCCTCTCACGTCCCGTTTAAGTCTCTAAGTCTCTGCAAACCTGGGATGCCACTGTGACGAGTCTTCTTCATTCGGATGATGTGTCTTTGTTCTGTCTTTGTCTGAAGACGTAATAAACGTCCTCCTTAAAATATACTTGAGATTTGGGAGTCTCTTTTTCATGCCCTACAAAACAGTATCCTGTAAATATTTATTACATGAAGATCATTGACTTAAAAAAAACAAAATCTCGCCTTTCCTCCCTCTTTGCACCTTCCTGTGTGTGCTGGCTTTTGTGTTGCTGTGACGCCGGAAGCTAAGGCAGCAGTATTTTAAATACCAGCAGGGTCCCCCAAGGTGGACGAGTTTCAGGGAAACGTCCATACTGAGGCCCTAGGAAGAAAGGCCTGGCGCTCTGCTTCCAGGCGACGACGAAAGCTCTCAGGATAACACTGGCGCTGGAAGACGCGCCCCCTAGTGGAAGGTCCTCAACATGCACAGAGGCCGCAACCACTGCTTCGGGGCGAACCATGAACCGGAAGAAGGTCCCGACGAAGGACCTGGCAACATGTCTGTTTCTCTCTTCTTGGGGTCGTCTTGACTTGGGTCACTTTGAGCCTCACGGACGACACGGGGAGAACGAACCACCACAACCCCGCCCACCTCAGTCGGATTCGTCCCAGAGGCCATTGGCCACGCCCTGGGCTGCTGGCCCCGCCCCCTGACGCCACGCACGCTCCGTCGGGCGCCGGCCCCGCCCACAGCACAAGCGGCATAGACCATCTCCAGTTGCCGCGTGCGGAGGGGAGGCCGGCGGGAAGCGCTTCTGAGGGAAGCTTGGAAGCCACGTTTCCCCCTCACCGATGACTGTACCAAGCCACTGGGGTACGTATGATGTGATACAGAGCGTTTGTGCCAATTCAGGCGCCCGGACCTCCTACTCGTGCGTGAGCCTCTGTCTGAATCCCCCCGTCTCCAGTCGCGTTGGTGCCGCCCGGGGGTCACGTGGTCGGGAAGATGGCCGCCCCCAGAGCGCTTTGCCTCCGACGCGGCTGGTGAGGCGACCGCGCCGGACGTGCGCTCTGACAGCTGGCCGGGACCCCTCAGGTAGCGGCAGCACGGTGCGTGGCCCTGGCCAGCTGGGCGGGCTCGGGGATCCCTGGTTGAGGGATCGGGTCTCCGAGGATCCCAGAGTTGGGGAGCTTTCTCCCGAGGGGTTGTGCGTCCCAGCGATCTCTTCCTCCGTATCCGGGGCGCCCTCCGCTGGGGGACCCGGGGAGCCAGCTGGTGGGGGGTCCTATGTCTGGTGATCCCTTTCTCAGGCTCCTGGGGACCCGAAGGTTCGGCCCGTGGGGGAGCCCAAGTCAGGTCAAGTCTTGGTCGGGGGCCCGCCTGTGAGGAATCCAGTCGGGGTAGCTCGCGTCACGTGGCTCCGAGGCGCATCTGGATCCTGGGTGTCACTTCCAAGGAGCCCGTGGTATCTGTCGCCTGTCGGGGTGACTCCTGCGGAGCGGGTCTGTGATAGTTACCCGAGATCTTTGCTGGGGACTCTTGGTTTAGGGAGCCTCCCGAGGGAGGGCCTGGAAAAGGGGGGCTTTGGGCTGTAGGTCCCCATCCTTATGTCCCTGGAAGGCTTCTTGGTAATGGCCTTTGTCTGGGACCCTCCCTCCCAGCTGTCAGGGAATTTCCGGATTCTGTCTCTGCTTGGTTGGATCCCCACGGCCTGGCACCCCACCATCCCCCGCAAACTTCCTAAGAAATGGGGCTAAGGGGGGAGTTAAAGGGGCTGTGTGTCCCCCCCTCATGCCCTCCTGAGCATAGAAGTGAAACAGCTAATAAAGTTGTCGGGTGCTGTTTCTATTTATAGCACAACCCCAGTGGGTTTCCTCCAAACAAACCACCGCCCAAACTCGTTGCCATTACATTAAGTTGGTGTCGCCTCATAGTGATTCCACAGGCCTGGTAGAACTGCCCCTGTGAGTGGCCGAGACTGTAAATAACTTCTTACGAGTAGAAAATCCTGTCTTCCTCCCGCAGAGCAGCTGGTGGTTTTGAACTGCTGACCTTGCTCTTAGGCAGTCATAATTTATGGGAGCAGATTGACTGGTCTTTCTCCCTAGGGCCACTGGGTGGGTTTGAACTTCGAACCCTTTCATGAGTAGCAGCTGTGGGCATACCCATCACACCCCGCCAGCGCCCCTGTAACAGCGTGCAAGGGTAGAAGGAAGGCACCCTACGGGCTCTACCGTGAGCATCAGGTTCATTCATGACAAGTCTGTAAGGTCCGTGGACTCCTTGTACCCATTTTACAGATGCGAGGTTGTGTCCACAGTGTCGAGGACCGAGCCTGGCACACAGTAGAGGTTCAGTTCATTCATCAAACATCTATTCTGAGTGGGTACTTTTGTGATGGGGACCCTGGGTGGGTCAAATGGCAAACAGGGTTGGCTGCTGACTGAAAGGTGGGAAATCCCAGCCTACTGAAATGCCTCAGATAAAAGGCACTCCGGAAAGGCTGGTGGCACACAGTTCCTCCCCGACACATAGGGGCGCCACTGAAGTCGGGGTCAGCATGATGACAGTCGGTTTGGTTTGGTATTGTTTTTGCCACATTGACAGGCACTGCTAGATCGTGAGGACCGAGGGACACAACATAGTACACATATATTTAGGAAGAGATGGGTGGACACAGTGGCTGCAGCAATGGGCTCAGGGCTAGGGTCCATCGTGAGGACAGGACAGCGCAGGGCCACTGGGCAGTGATTTGTTCTGTTGTGCTTACGCTCGCTGTGGTTGGAACCGACTGGACGGCCCCTACTTAACAACAACAGGGAGAAGAGGCTGTCTGCACTGTGGAGAAAAAGAAACCCCAAAATGGGCGTGCTTGTAAACAGGGTGATCAGAGACATCAAAGCTTGAAAGGTCATGAAATAGGAGCTGTTCATGCTTTTATTTTTTTTCTCCAAACGCAGAAACAAATTTAGAGGCATGTGTCCAAGTTCAATGGCAGGTCTCTCCGGAGCAACCCTACCTCTCCTTTGGTAGCTGGGGCGGACTCCGAGCCGGAGATTTCTCTTTATTTCCGAGCGGTTTAGCAATGAGGACCCTTGGCCAGGTGTCACAGCTGGGGTCAGGAGTCCTGGGTCCTGTCTGCTGTCGACAAATCCTTGCTCTTCTGGGTCTCACTGCCATTCGGTCAGTTCCAACTCATGGCAACCCAATAGGACAGAGTTAAACTGGCCCTGCAGGTTTCTAAGGTTGTAATTCTGTTTTCTTTCTTATTAAATACTTGTAAAAAAATCATTATATTGGGGGCTCGTACAATTCTTATCACAATCCATCCATCCATCCATTGTGTCAAGCACATTTGTACATTTGTTGCCCTCATCATCCTCAAAACATTTGCTTTCTACTTGAGCCCTTGATATCAGCTCATTTTCCTTCCTCCCCACTCCCTCCTCCCTCATGAACCCTTCATAATTCATAAATTATTATTTTGTCTTATCTTACACTGTCCGACATCTCCCTTCCCCCACTTTTCTGTTGTCCATTCCCCAGGGAGGAGGTTATATGTAGATCCTTGTAATTGGCTCCCCCTTTCTACCCCACCTTCCCTCCACTAAATACTTTTATTGGGGGCTCTTACATCTCTTATCAGAGTCCATACATTCATCCATTGTCTCAAGCACATTTGCACATATGTTGCCATCATCATTTTCAAAGCATTCTCTTCCCATTTGAGCCCCTGATATCAGCTCCCCATTTCTTCCCCCTCCCTCCCCTGTAGGTTGTAATTCTTTACAAGAGTAGAAAGCCTCATCTTTCCTCCAATAAGTGGCTGGTGGTTTGGAACCCCTGGCCTTGGAATCAGCAGCCAGGAAGTGGGTCTTGATGGCCCTGCTGACTCTGCTCTTTTCTCTTTTGGTTCTGTAGCTTCTTTGGGGCTCGCTTTTCAGGTGTTACCTTCCTTTGATGGCCACCTGTGCTTGGGAAGCGGCCCCACCCTCGTTAAACCAGGCTAGGCCTGAAGACAGCCCTGGGCACGGGCCCGTGGCCACCGGCATGCTGCAGCCTGCGTGTCATGTTTATGGAGCGTGCCCCAGGTTCTCAGCTGCTCTAAGCGATCTCTTTCATCTTGATCCATCCCGCCAAGTTTGAGTCTGCGGTTAGAGGCCAGATTCTGGAGCTAGACCGCCTGCATTCACATCTCTCCACCCCACTCATGAGTGAGCCGCTGAACCTGTCAGTCTCTGCCTTGACATGTCCACACGTGTTTTCATTCTTGTTTGCCTCCAGGGATCTCGTTACTTCATGTTAAAATGGCTTCTGTGATTTGGAGGAGCCCTGGTGGTAGAGTGGACTGTGGTCCCCCAGGTTGGCAGTTTGAAACAACCTACTGCTCCCAAGGAGATAGACAGGGACTTCAGGGACTATTCGTCCCTGAAAAGAGCTGTCTCGGAAACCCACGCAGTGGGGTGGGGGTTGGTCACTATGAGTCAGCCTCCAGTGGTTATTTTTTGGTTTTCTATTATTCATTAATTTTAAAGCAGAGTGTTTGTTATTCAATTTCCATGTATTTGATCGCCCTCTTCCCGTTTTTTAAAACAAATAGTAATCATTTTATTGGGGGGGCTCTTACAAATCTTAGAACCATCCATCATTCACTGCTTCCTGTTGATTTTTAATTTTATGGCTTTGTGGTCTGTGGACCACGGGTAGTATTTTGATGTTTTGACTGTATTGAGGCTTGTGGTGAGTGGCCTTCCACATGGTCCCCTCTGGAGAATGTCCCATGTGCGCTGCCAGAAACGCACGTGCACTGCTGTCGGGCACGTCTCTGTGGTCGAGTTAGTTGACTGGGTTTGTTCAGCTTTCCTTGTCTTTGCCGAGTTCCTTTCTAGTTGTCTGTGCTCCACGAGAGTGACGAATTGAGGTCTCTTACTATTCTTGCAGAGTTGCGTATTTTGAAGCTCTTTCCTGGGGCAGTGTTTATGATGGGTATGTCCTCCTGCTCAATTAACCTTATATAATGCCCTTCCTTGTATTGGAAGCAGTTTTTTTTGCATGAAAATCTATTTTATCCAAGCTAATATTGACCCCTTATCGATTGTCATTTACTTGACCCATTTTTCCATCTTTTTGCCTTTTAGTCTATTTTTGTCTTTTTTTTGTTGAAGATGTGTCCATTGTAGTCGGCATATTCAAGCCTCCTGTTTTCATACCCATCCTGTTACTCCCAGACTCTTGACTGATGAACTGAGCCCACTTACGTTTAGTGTAGTGATGGGTATGGATGCTCGTATTTTTTTGTTGCTGCCCCCCCCCCTTTTTTATTCCACACAGCTTTCTGTGCCAAATTACTTTTGTTTGTGGGTTTTCTTATCACTCCCTTCATTGCTGTTGTCTTAATGTTTACGAAATCTTTATAACTTTCTGCCTTTTTTATTTAGATGAGTTTGTTGTTGTGTTTTTAGGCTAACCTGTAACATATCAATCTCTTCCCAAGTTTCAAACAGTCTGTTGTATCTACATTATGTATGCCCTCTTTCTATATTGTAATTTTGGTTCCAATCTGCTGGATGTGGCTCTCTGTGCTCAGTTTTGTGGGTTTTTCTTTTTGATGTTGGATATTTCTACTTTTATATCTCGGGGAGCTCTGGTGGTGATATCATGCGTGTTCACCTGAGGTTGTTGATTCTCTGTCTGAAAAACTCCCTTAAGTGTTTCTTGTAAGGTTGCTCTGTTTTTTACAATTTCCTTCACTTTCTACTTATCTGCAGCGGACTTGACTTTGCCATCATATTTGAGGGACAGTGTTGCTTGGTACCGTATAAGCCGACCCGAATATCAGCCAAGGCATCTAATTTTACCACGAAAACTGCATTAAAAAGGTGCTGAAGACCTCGGCTTATACACGAGTATATACGGTATATCATTCTTGGGTGGAGTTGTATATATACTACCCCACTGCCTTCTTGCCTGCATGGTTTCTGCCAAGAAGTCAGAGTTTAGGTGATTCGTTCTCCTTTGTAGTTGATTCTCATTTTTTTCACGCTGTTTCCAGGTTTTTTCCTTGTGTTTGGTTTTGCGACGTTATGGCACGGTGTATCCTAATTGGTGTCTATCCTGATTGGGGTTTGCTTAGCTGCCTGTATGCACATCACCTCATCTTTCACACTAGGTAAGTTTTCGTCCAATAACTCTTCGACCATTCTCTCTGGTGTCTCTGTTTGTTTGTTTGGTCTTGGCAATCGCTTCTCGGCCTTTTGGCTAAGATCAAGTGTTGCCTTGGTAGTTTCCTGTTTGGGAATTCCAATCAAACCTGCTCTTTCTCTGGATAGCATCTCAAATAATTCTTAAGTTTTTTTCTCCCCTTTCATTCTTTTTCCTGCTTGTTCCTCTGTTGTTGCTCGGTGCCATGACTTGGCAGTGGCCCATGGCACCCCTGTGTATAACAGAACAAAAGACTGCCCCTCCTCACCGTGGGAGGTTCCTGTGCCTGAGCCCAGGGTCGCAGCCACTGTGTCCGTCCGTCTTGGTGAAGCTCTTCCTCTTTTTTGCTGCCCTTCTCCTTTGCCAAACACAACTGGGACTGTTCTCTCCTGACAATACGCCCAAAGTATGTAAGACAAAGTCTTGCCATCCTTGCTTTTAAGGAACATTCTGGCCTTACTTCTTCCAAGACAGATCGGTTTGCCCTTTTATCAGCCCCTGGGACCTTCAGTCTTACTCTCCAGCACCCCATTCAAATGCATGACGCCTCTACAGTGTCCAGCTTCCACATGCAGATGATGGTGCCTCTCACAGATCAGTACTGAGAGATTTGCCTTCAGTCTCACTAATGCTGTCTTCCATGGATTCAGTTCTACTACTTTGCTTTTTCTGTATTTATGTATTTTTAAAGTTAGTATGAATCTGGGTTCTTAGTTGGTTTTCTCATTTTTCATGTATTTTGTCAGTTTATTCTTATGTTCCCCTGAATTCTATAGTTTTGTCGTTGTTTCCTTGATCTCATTTGCAGCCTTCTTGACCTTCCTCTCAATCCGCTGAAGGCCCCTACGTGCCATTCTTCTGAATTCCTTACCGGGTTGTCCCAATGCCTTCTCTTCTTCAGGAAGGTTTGCCGGCTCTGTGTTTCGGTCACTTGTTTGAGCCTGGCTGTTGTGTCCCTTTGTCTGCAGTGGCGTTGTCATGGTCTCAGAGACACTGTGATGCTGTTGGCGTCTGTATTTAATTGGTCACCACATCCTGGTGTGTTCACGGGCGATCCTCGTTTGTCTGTCTCCTGGTGGGTGCAACAGAGGACGAGCTGCCCACCCACTTTGCTGCTGGCTCTTCCTGCAGCACCGCTGAGGGCAGGTTTGGCAGGTGTCGGCCACTGTCTGTCCTTGACCAACTGGCGGAGGAGTGGGTGGGAGTCCTCGCCCAGTGTGTGCAGTTGCTGGAAGTGCAGGTGGAGAAGGAAAGGGTGGGGGGGAGTAAGAAATAAAGGCAGACAACAACAAAGTATATATGTTAAAAATAAAGAGAAAGGAACCCAAATGGAGGGAAAGCAAGTACACAAGGAAACAATATATAGAAAAAGGGAAGGGAACGAAAAGCAAGTGACGGGAAAATAAAGGAAACCGGGGAGGTAACGAGAGAAAGAAAAGAGAATAGTAAAGAAAAAATTAAGGAAGAAGGGAAGAGAAGAAGAAACAAGATAAGCAGGGAAAGGGGGGGACAAAAGGAAGGGAAAGGGGAGAAAACTGGGGGGTGGTCTGGGGGCGGGGACCCTCTATCAGCTCCCCCAGGCATGTCAGGCACCTGTGCCACTCTTGCAGGCAGCGGGGACAGGGGCCTTGTCCTGAAAGGAGTTCCTGTCTGCCGAGGGCTGGCTGAGTGCGGTGTGCCCATCGCCCGGGCCGCACACAGAGCAGGGGCTGTGCCAGAGAGCCGTCAGCAGCCACTAGGTGGGTGAGAGTGGGGCTGGTCACCAGGAAGGTGTGGGGGACAAAGACATGGTCCCTCCCCCTTTCCTGGTCACCAGCCACCACCGTGGGCCCGTTTGTGATCCTGGACAGTGAAGCTGGTCTTCAGGTCGCTGAATGAAGTTCCAGACAGCCGGGCGCACCAGATCAGAGCAGCCGACCCGTCCCCCCTTGGTGCGTCTCCCGGCTGGCTGCTTCCCCACCTCGAGAGCTCATTTGGTCTCTCGTGTCTTTGTTGTAGCAGGTCGAGGCTGTCCGGTCAGCCGTCTCGCCGGGAAGTCCACCTAGCCGCTGTAGACCCTCCTGCCAGCGCATCCCCGGGCAGGTGACCCTGGCACCATGGTGACTGAGCAGGAGGTGGACACCATCGGGCGCACGCTGGTGGACCCCCAGCAGCCCCTGCAGGCACGCTTCCGGGCGCTCTTCACCCTGCGAGGGCTGGGCGGGGCTGGCGCCATCAGCTGGATCAGCCGGGCCTTCATGGACGACTCTGCCCTGCTCAAGCACGAGCTGGCCTACTGCCTGGGGCAGATGCAGGATGAGAGGGCCATCCCAGTGCTGCTGGACGTGCTACGGGACACGTGCCAGGAGCCCATGGTGCGCCACGAGGCAGGTGAGCACTGCCCTGCCTCCCCCTCTGGGCCGCTCCTCCCAGAAGTCCAAATTCCAAAACCTCACCCACCGTCCAGTTCATTCCAACCCACAGGGACCCTACAGGACAGGGCAGCCCTCCCCCCTGTGGAGCGGCTGGTGGATTCGAACTGCCCACCTGGAGGTTTATAGCCCAACTATCATCCACTACCACCCCATGGCTCCTTGTGATGTGGGGATGACTATCTCCCTCCTTTCTGTACGGGGAAACTGAGGTACAGTGCAGACAAGTGACTTGCCCAAGGACACACAGCAAGTTGGTGACAGAGCTGGGATTTGGACCCTCAGAAAAGGCTTTGGCAAAAGCTTATGACCTTCCGAGGTCTTTGGGAGTCCTTGAATACCCCACCATAACTGGCTGGGGTCTCCAGATTAGTGATTTGGGGGAAAGAGCAGTCCGGAGGAATGAGAAGCCATCTTGGGGTGGGGGAAGCACAAGAATGATTCTTAAATTGTGCGCCGCCATCAACTGGCCGACTCTTACCTAGCCTCCCAAACCCCACCTGCATTGCCCCTATGCGTGTCCGAGGCGGTCAGCCTTTACGGGAGCAGATCTCCTCATTTAGCCCCATCTTTCCCCAAGAAGTGGCTGATGGGTTTGAACTGGTAACCTTGAGCCTAACACTTAAGGCACTATATGCCACCACAATGATGACTGCCCACAAAACCCTTTGAGGGCTGCTTTCCTGTGTCATGTGGGGTAACCATGAGTCCAAATAAGAGTCCAGCACCACCACAATAGCCCACTGTGTACATGGACGGGCCACATTGTATTTGCCCAGTCACCTGTGGATGGGCCCCCGGGCAGGTCTCATGCCGCCCCGGTGCTCATGGCTCTGCCTGAGTCTCTGCGCTTGTGGCTCTTATGCATCATCTCAGGAGTGGAGCCACCTGAGCACTGAGCATCGTCCTAGGAACAGGAAGGGAGCAGCTATAACCAGGGTGCCCCCCCCCCCCATTTGAATGGTGTCCCTCTTAAGCAAAGTAACTTTCATCACTGAAGGTCCCAGCCCCCAGCCTGGCCTTTACTTCCACTTGCCTGGGCAGGGGGGGGTATCGGTAATTTTTAATGTTCTCCCAGGCCCTCTCCGGCTATTCTCTCTGCCCCCCTGGGCCAGCCCAGGTTACTTTCAAGACTCTTGACTCTTCCTTAAAGCCCCATCGTCCCCGTGCCC